CTGCGTGATAAATTAATCATGGTACAATGATCATTATAAAACAGATAAACGTTCCATGGTTTGCATGTGGGCTAAATACTGCCAGGTTGCCAAGGTCAAGGCAGGGTAACAGATAATGAGTGTCTGAGGGTATTTTGGAAATAAAAAATTTTAACAGGCTTCGATGTGTCTGTTCATCATTGAGTCCGCAAGTCTATCTCTAGCGGTGACACTGTATTCAGAGATGCGTTTTTGGGATCTTGCCAGTAAGTAAGTCTTTTTTTCAAGAGACCGGGGGGAATTACTCTGTGCCTTACCTTAGCACTGTTTGTGCGATTGTCAGGATCACACTATTCGAAAACTGATAGTCTTTCTTCATCCTATTCGTTAGCCGGTGAAGTATGTGCATCGTATAGCATCAACNATACATTCGACCACTCACGAGTAGTTGAATACCTCGACGATTGAGGCGCTGTCATCGATGTGCCTTGGACACCATGGTTTGAGTGCCGCCACCGCCACCCAACTTCAGTGGTAGACAGCTTTGCTGTCTTCCGAATCAATATCACGCCTAACCTAGTGAGGCCTTGTGTGGTTCGCCTCTCAGAATCCCGGGGCTTATGTTGTTGGTTTCCATTTCTGGACAATAGGTCTTATTGAGTACAGGGCCCACTCCGTCAGCTGTTTATTATACCAATGTGTAAAAAAAGAAAGATGCACGAATATGAATCCAACAAAAGTTTATCCATTTTCGGTGTTTGACTGCAATTGGGCTAAACATGCTGTGAAACGAGCAATATTCACCTACACTGAAGATGGAAATGTGAACAGAAAATGGAATGAACAGACTCACCCGAATTGAATTGGCTCTACTGGACTGAGTGAGCACGCGTTGTGTCGAGTCACACAGCGTAATACGACTCTTCCCAGTTGCAGAAGTGTTCATAGAAAGTGCACCGGGAGTGTTCCTAATCGCAACTCCCAGTTTGTGAGAACTGTCGGGGAGGCGAGTGACAGAAACCACAGGTACCGCATTGCACAATGCGGTATTCGGTTTGGCCGGACTCGAGGAAGGATGATTGTCCGAAAGAGTTACGCATTTGGTATCCGCTTTCCCATTCCGAATTCGCTCACTGGAACTGGACAATCGTAAAGTGCGCGGTGAGGATAAGCGTCTGGAGCGAAGAGAATCGTCCAGATCAACTATAGCATGCTGTTGACCCCGCAGTAAAGCACTGATCCTGATCTCTTCGAGTTTATTTTTCCGTTTTTTTAATTGTTTCGGTGGATTTGTTGAGTGTTGTGAACGGGATCGCTTTAGCTCGGGTCGTGAACTGACGGTTGAAGATGAACACGATTCATTCGAGAACGACACGCGTTTTCGAACCTGTCGTGTTTGCTCCGACTGGGGCGGGACCGGACAATCGAGGGTTGCAGTTGCCAATTTTGACGCCACCCGAGGTGTGTGTATTTTCCGCGTTAGACAAGACGGAATGACACGAGTACGCTGACGACGGCGAAGACCAGGAGTTTGAGCTGGAGACTNCTTCCAGAAGGAGACTCGGAGTTAGAGGCGTTTTGCTTGATAATTGACCGATTTTGGATGAAAGAAGATGATTGGATCTACCGGGTTTCGATAATTCGGGGGTATGTGTGCACGATTTGTGAGTGGGAGTAATGAGCTCTTCCACAGGTTGCTGTCTGTTCAAAGGGAGCAAACGACGAGCAGAAAGTGGGACTGAGGATTCGGACAGTTCTGAGGTAACCGTTCGGAGTACGGGCGAGAAGTGATTAGGTAGCTCCATTCGATGAAGTGAAGCACCATCATTTTGAGTGGAAGCAACAGTGGTTGTTTTGTGTATAGGAGCGTCCTTTGATATAGATGCATCTGTGGCCCATAATTGTATGGCAAAGAGAAGTAATTGTACAAGGGAGTCAGAAAAGGAAGAACACGAGCGAGTTAAAG